AGTTGAAGCTGTTATAGCTGCAAAGGGCGGGGCCAACTCAATATTGAACCCTACGGTCTAAGACTGGGAGGCCATTAAAAGTTAAGGAGTGTGTAAAGGCAGGCGGCCCAATACTTTAGGCCAGGGGTCTGCAACCTTTAAGACATAAAGAGCCACTTGGACCCGTTTCCGAGAGGGAAAAAAAGACTGGGAGCCGCAAAACCATTGCAACATTTAAAACAAATCCGACACTGCATATATTGCAAAAAGCGCTCTGGTCATGAAGGGGGTTTAAGGGCCCAGTAAGCAAAGGGTTAATCAGGGCCACAGTGTATCGTCATAATCACAATCATAGCCTTAGGTCAGTGGTGGGCAACCTTTTTTTTCAACTGAGCCAAATCTCGCCAAAACCACGATTGAAATTTATTTTGAGAGCCACATTTTTAAAACTGAAAATACATCCCCCATATAGTAATTCATCCCCCATAGTAATTCATCCCCCATTGTAATCATCGCCCATATAGTAATTCATCCCCCATAGTAATTCATCCCCCATATAGTAATTCATCCCCCATAGTAATTCATCCCCCATAGTAATTCATCCCCCATATAGTAATTCATCCCCCATAGTAATTCATCCCCCATAGTAATTCATCCCCCATAGTAATTCATCCCTAATATAGTAATTCATCCCCCCTATAGTAATTCATCCTCCCTATAGTAATTCATCCCCCCTATAGTAATTCATCCCCCCTATAGTAATTCATCCCCCCTATAGTAATTCATTCCCCATATTGTGTCAATTCACTTACCTTTGCTCCGCACGTTCCTCTTGCCGTGTTCCCGCGCCGTTCCGGTCTTCAGGGCGGACTGTGAGAGGAGAGGAGTTCGTCACGCTGCCCCGCCTACATCCTGACAGCCAATGTTTGCCACGCTCTGCAGGCCGGATTAAAAGGTCCGCCGGGCCGTAGTTTGCCCATTGCTGGGCTAGCTGCAGAGTCCTGACTTTTGGGACGGCCGCCCGAGAGGAGGGAGGGGAGCGGGCGCCCGGCACACAGAAGAGCCGCAGCAAAGGTGAAAAAGAGTCGCATGCGGCTCTGGAGCCGCGGGTTGCCGACACCCGCTTTAGGCAATATAGTGTACAGTGGTGTATTTAGGTTTTGTGCTGCCCTAGGCAACACAAAAAAGGCGCCTCCCCCGCAGAAAGAGCACGACATTGACCATGGACACCCCTGCCCTCCACCTGAGCATTCTACTACCACTGCTCCCCATACAATATCCATCATCCCCCATGGTGAGAGAGAAAGACACTCACCTTCAGAGCTCCGGACATCCCCAGGAACGAGAGTCGGGCTGTGCATACACCATCATGAAACCCACAGCATCTCTCGGAACCCACCAGGTCCCCGTGTTGCGTGTGTCCCTTCTTCCAAGGGGCAGTGCTGCCCCCCCCACTGAAAAATGCCACCCTAGGCAAATGCCTTGTGGTAAATACACCCCTGATGGTGTGTATTCCTTAAAGTGCTACTAAAGGGATTTTTTTATTTTCTTTGAGTATAATTCTGTTTTTTAATTGGAAGAAAGAATAGAAATCCACAGTGTGCATCAAATGCCTTTCCAAACCCAGATATTACCTTGTATAAATAGCAGTGACATCATCACTGTGCTGTACATAGAGCAGAGCTGTGGGAGGGGCCCATCTGGCTCCACCTACTACAGGCTGCCTGCAGAAAACTACAGGAGGGGGTGGAGACAAGACCAGTCACCCTGCACAAGGAGAGAGAGCAGCAGCGAGTGGTCTTTATTATAGGAAGCTCACACTGGATTACTGCACAGATCTGGATGAAATACACAAAGCACACCAAGATTCAATTAAAAAAATACACATGCCTCTTGTATTTAGACAATATCTGTTTATCCTGGAGTTCAGCTTTAAATACTTATTTATCACACAGCCCATGACCCTAGTTGCAGAGCTACACTTTCCAGTAGGATCATGAGCAGGGGCGGACTGACCATTTGGAAACTCGGGCACTGCCCGAGGGCCCGGGGTCAGTAGGGGGCCCCATGAGATGCCTCTGGTACCTTTTTCATAGGCTTTTTTGAGTTTGGGCAAGGACACAGGGGCCCCATGATCCCCTATTGCCCAGGGGCCCCATGAGTTGTCAGTCCGCCCCTGATCATGAGCATCCAAAACACCCGGGGGTGTCAGATCCCCGTGTCCTACTTTAACCGCTTCCCGTCCACCCTATAGCAGAAGTACTGCTACTGGGCGGCACGGGTGTGCAGGATTACGTATATATATGTGATTTTGCATGTCCAGGTAGGAGGCACGCGTGCGCATCTTACCCCTGCTGCCTTTCGCGGCCACAGCTGTCAATCCCCGGGTTCCGGCCTGTGATTACTCGTCAGCGCCTGATGATTGCTGAGCATCTCCGATAGGTGGGAGATTTGTTTGTAAACAAAATAGTTCTCTCCCCTGTCAGCTCCTGCACTCTGCTTTGCATGGCAGTAAAGCACACACACACAGCCCCCAAAGTAAAACACACAGTTAACCCTTTGATCACCCCACATGTTAACCCCTTCCTGCCCAGTGCCATTAGTACAGTGTCGGTGCTATTTATTAACACTGATCACTGTATTGGTGTCACTGGGGATGTCAGTGATACCAAGCCAGTTCCCCCCTCCAATGTCAGAATGCCCGCTGCAGTCCCGCTATAAGTCGCTGATCATTACTAGTAAACAAAAAAAAAAAATCCCAGTATATATACCGCCGTAACATTCACGTAAATCAATCCATTTGCACGTATTGAGATTTTTTTTAGCAAAGACATGTAGCAGAATACATTTTGGCCTAAATTTATGACGAAATTTGTTTTTTTTAATTTTTTAACCGGACATGTTTAATAGCAAAAAGTCAAAAATAATGTTTTTTTCTCAAAATTGTTGGTCTTTTTTTTATAGCGCAAAAAATAAAAAACGCACAGGCGATCAAATACCACCAAAAGAAAACTCTATTCATGGAAAAAAAGGACTTACATTTAATTTGGGTGCAGCATTGCATGACCGCGCAATTGTCAGTTAAAGTACTGCAGCGCCGTAACGCAAAAAAATGGCCTGGTCAGGAAGCGGGGTAAATCCTCTGGAGGGCAAGTGGTTATTAATGATGTTGCAGCCAGTGGGTGGAAACCCGCGGCAGGGAACAGAAACACTCCCCAAGGTGTTAGATACTGGGACACACTAGGGATGTAGCAGTTAGTGGATGAAACCACAGCATGCAGTGTAGAACACAGGCTCCATCACACGGCTGGGTGCTGAAACATGGATGCTTATAGCTGCAAGAACAAAAATTGGAGCCACCAACAGCAGGACTGGTATGTACTATTAATCGATGTGTGTTTTTTAATTGTATCTAAAACTGTTTTTTGGGGGTTATTTGGATAAAGTTTTAATTGCTATCTGTGTCTCAGAACAAAACTCAGATCTCAGGAGGTATACTCCCAGTGACCCTGTGAGGTGTTCTCTGGATTCTTGTTGCGGTGAGTCACATATAGAATGGATAATGGTTATACAGTGCAGACTTTCTGATTGCACCATTTCCTGGAAAGTATCAGTCGTGGTTTCACTTGTCTGGATTTGCAGCAAGCAGAGGGTTGTACCATCAGTCTGTATGGAACAGCTGGGGCATTAGGTACAGTTTATTTAAGCTTTGTAGTTACTCATCCTACATTTAGAAGTTAAAAGAGGAGCTTTAGAGTGTGAGATGTAACCTGTCATTATAAGCGCTCCTTGTCCCCCTCCTCATCATTCCGTCCCTTTGATGTTCCTTCGGTTCCCAGGATGTTCCGTCACTGTGCCCAATATACAGGTGTCCTTCTGATTCCCTCCCCGGGGCTCGGGAACAAGAAATGATTACTATTTATGGAATAAGCAAAGCACATGGGACAGTGTAATAGGAACAGTAGGAAGGAGATACAATCACTCGTCATTGTAAAGCCTCGTGCACAGGATGGGCAGACGATTGATTGTCTGTTTTACATAGTTACATAGTTAGTCTGGCTGAAAAAAGACAAACGTCCATCCAGTTCAACCATTAAAAAAAAAAAGAAGTTATAATTCTACACCCACAGTCAGGGGCGGACTGAACATTCGAGCACTCAGGCACTGCCCGAGGGCCCGGGGTCAGTAGGGGGCCCCATGAAATGCTCCTGGTACCTTTTATAGGCTTTTTTGGGTGTGATTTGAGTGTGGGCAAGGACACAGGGGCCCCTTGATCCCCTATTGCTAGGGGGCCCCATGAGTTGTCAGTCCGCCCCTGCCCACAGTTGATCCAGAGGAAGGCAAAAAAAAGCCCAACAATGCATTATCCAATTTGCTCCTGCTGGGGAAAAAATTCCTTTCTGATCCCCCGAGAGGCAATCGGATATTCCCTGGATCAACTTTACCTATAATTGTTAGTATCCAGTTATATTCTGTGTATCTAAGAAAGAATACAGGACTTTCTTACAGCAATATCATTATATCTGGTCTCCCAGGACCTTGCATTCACTATATCTGGTCTCCCCGGACCCTGCATTCACTATATCTGGTCTCCCCAGACCCTGCATTCACTATATCTGGTCTCCCCGGACCCTGCATTCACTATATCTGGTCTCCCCGGACCCTGCATTCACTATATCTGGTCTCCCCGGACCCTGCAGTCACTATATCTGGTCTCCCCGGACCCTGCATTCACTATATCTGGTCTCCCCCGACCCTGCATTCACTATATCTGGTCTCCCAGGACCCTGCATTCACTATATCTGGTCTCCCCGGACCCTGCATTCACTATATCTGGTCTCCCTGGACCCTGCATTCACTATATCTGGTCTCCCCGGACCCTGCATTCACTATATCTGGTCTCCCGGACCCTGCATTCACTATATCTGGTCTCCCAGGACCCTGCATTCACTATATCTGGTCTCCCCGGACCCTGCATTCACTATATCTGGTCTCCCTGGACCCTGCATTCACTTATCTGGTCTCCCCGGACCCTGCATTCACTATATCCGGTCTCCCCGGACCCTGCATTTACTATATCCGGTCTTCCCGGACCCTGCATTCACTATATCTGGTCTCCCAGGACCCTGCATTCACTACACTATATCTGGTCTCCCAGGACCCTGCATTCACTATATCTGGTCTCCCCGAACCCTGCATTCTTCGCTATATCTGGTCTCCCCAGACCCTGCATTCACTATATCTGGTCTCCCCGGACCCTGCATTCACTATATCTGGTCTCCCTGGACCCTACATTCACTATATCTGGTCTCCCCGGACCCTACATTCACTATATCTGGTCTCCCTAGACCAGCAATGGGCAAACTACGGCCCGCGGGCCGTATACGGCCCGGCGGACCTTTTAATCCGGCCCGCGGAGCAAGGCTCCCGCTAGGCTCCTCTCACAGTCCGCCCTGAAGACCGGTGTAGTGTGAAAATCTGTCTCCTATGAGGATCTGTCCCCCTCGACGTATCTGCGCATGTGCCGGAGATCGCCGATCGGCTGCTAATGCCTGAAACTGGCACATGCGCAGATACGTCGAGGGGGACAGATCCTCATAGGAGACAGATTTTCATGCTACACCGGAGCGGCGCGGGAACACGGCGAGAGGAACGCGCGGAGCAAAGGTAAGTGAATTGACACAGGGGGGACTTGGGGAATGAATTACTATAGGGGGGATGAATTACTATAGGGGGGATGAATTACTATATGGGGGATGAATTACTATGGGGGATGAATTACTATATGGGGGATGAATTACTATGGGGGATGAATTACTATGGGGGATGAATTACTATATGGGGGATGAATTACTATGGGGGATGAATTACTATGGGGGATGAATTACTATGGGGGATGAATTACTATGGGGGGGATGAATTACTATATGGGGGATGAATTACTATGGGGGATGAATTACTATATGGGGGATGAATTACTATGGGGGATAATTTACTATATGGGGGATTAATTACTATGCTTACTATGGGGGAATATTACTATACTTACTATGGATGACACATACACATCATTCATCTACTCTTGGTCCGGCCCCCGGGTCCAATATATGAACCCATTGCGGCCCTCAAGTCAAAAAGTTTGCCCACCCCTGCCCTAGACCCTGCATTCGCTATATCTGGTCTCCCAGGACCCTGCATTCACTATATCTGGTCTCCCCGGACCCTGCATTCACTATATCTGGTCTCCCCGGACCCAGCATTCACTATATCTGGTCTCCCAGGACCCTGCATTCTTCGCTATATCTGGTCTCCCCGGACCCTGCATTCACTATATCTGGTCTCCCCGGACCCTGCATTCAATATATCTGGTCTCCCCGGACCCTGCATTCAATATATCTGGTCTCCCCGAACCCTGCACTCACTATATCTGGTCTCCCCGGACCCTACATTCACTATACCTGCTCTCCCCGGACCCTGCATTCACTATATCTGGTCTCCCAGGACCCTGTATTCGCTATATCTGGTCTCCCCGGACCCTGCATTCACTATATCTGGTCTCCCCGGACCCTGCATTCACTATATCTGGTCTCCCCGGACCCTGCATTCACTATATCTGGTCTCCCCGGACCCTGCATTCACTATATCTGGTCTCCCAGGACCCTGCATTCACTATATCTGGTCTCCCCGGACCCTGCATTCACTATATCTGGTCTCACCCGGAGCCTGCATTCACTATATCTGGTCTCCCCGGACCCTGCATTCACTATATCTGGTCTCCCCGGACCCTGCATTCACTATATCTGGTCTCCCAGGACCCTGCATTCACTATATCTGGTCTCCCAGGACCCTGCATTTACTATATCTGGTCTCCCACAGTACACAACATGGAAATGCAATTATTTTAGTAAATATATATAGTTACATAGTTAGTCTGGCTGAAAAAAGACTAAAGTCCATCCAGTTCAACCATTAAAAAAAAAAGTTATAATCCTACACCCACAGTTGATTCAGAAGGCAAATACCCCAGCAAAGCATGATCCAATTTGCTCCTGCAGGGAAAAAATTCCTTCCTGATCCCCCAAAAGGCAATCATATATTCCCTGGATCAACTTTACCTTTAAATGTTATATCCAGTTATATTCTGTGTATCTAGGAAACAATCCAAGCCGTTTTTAAAGCACTCCACTGAGCTGGCCAGAACCAACTCTTGAGGGAGTCTATTCCACATTTTCACAGCTCTTACTGTGAAGAAACCTTTCCGTGTTTGGAGATTACATTTCTTTTCTTCCAGGCATAAAGAGTGTTTTGTTTTTTTTTTGCATGCTAATCTCATATCGACAACGAATAGGTTACTAAAGTTCTGAAAATTCTCATAAGACAGAATACAACTTTGGAAGCGATGTAATATATTGTATTGTAATGTATTCTTTTATTTCCAAGCATGCGCTGTTTTGGTCACTCGATTTTTTGCGTAGAAATGCTATACTGATTACACGAAAATCGTTTGTTCTGTTATCTTATGAGAAAATTTTTTGTGCTTGTCCCTTCGCATATTTTCGAATGAACTGATCAGCTCTCGAAAGCTGTGTACTAACAATCAGATTACCATACAATCTCCGCGAAAGTGTTTTTTTTTTCGTCTGATATTCTCATTGTGTTTGCGAGGCTAAAAGGTGGAGTTCCACCCAAAAGTGGAAGCTCTGCTTTTCTGCCCCCCCCGCTCCCCCCCCCTATGCTGCCACATTTGGCATCTTTTGATATGGAGGGAGGAGCAGGTGCCTGCATTTGACAGGCGTCCACTCCCACTTCCAGCTGAATTCACCGCGTCGAACTGTGGCGGAAGTTCGGCACCCCCCACAGCCCTCTGGGACACTTCCAAGGTCCCAGAGGACTGCAGCCCATTCACAAAACGCAGTGCAATTCAGGCATTAGGACACCGGCGGTGAAGCAACCAGGTTTCATTGCCAGTTTTCCCTTAGTCAAGATGGTGGCACCAGCGCTCCACAACTGATTGAAGAATCGGCTCAGGGTGAGGACACTGCTGGATGCCTGGACAGGTAAGTGCCCTACTATTAACCACTTGCCGCCCAGCCACTGTACATATACGGTGGCAGGGCGGCACTCGCAGGCAAAACCACGTTTTAAAACGTGTGTTTTGTAAACAAATAGGGGGGCGCGCGCGCTATCGACGGTCCTTAGCAGCTATGTCCCAGCGATCGGCGGCAAACAGTGACAGACAGCACAGCTGCAGTAACTGTGCTGTCTGTCACTTCCCTGTCAGCTCGAGGATGAGCTGATCGAGAAAGAACAGTTTCTCTTTCTCGATCTGCCTTGTCCCGTCCAGCACACCCCTCCCCGCCCCCTAGTAAAACACTCCCCTCACTCCTATAACCCTTCCCTGCAAAATAAAGTTAACCCCTTCCTCCCCATTGCCATTAGTACAGTGTCAGTGTTTTTTTTTTTGCACTGATCACTGTATTCGTGTTTTTGGGGATGTCAGTGACCCTAAGTCAGTACCCCCCAATGTCAGAATGTCCGCCGCAGTCCCGAAGTCCCGCCATAAGTTGCTGGTCGCTACCATAAGTCCCTGATCACCGCCATAATTCGCTGATCGGCGCCATTATTAGTATAAAAAAAACCCTAAAAATCCCAGTATCTTTCCCGCCATTTGTAAACGCTATAACTTTCACGTAAACCAATTAATTTACATGTATTGGGTTTTTTTTTTTTAGCAAAGACATGTCGCAGAATGCATTTTGGCAGAAATTTATGACTAAATTTGATTTTTGCATTTTTTTTTTTTACTGGATATGTTTTATAGCAAAAAGTCCGAAATATTGTTTTTTTTTTCCTCAAAATTTTCAGCCTTTTTTTTTATAGCGCAAAAAAATAAAAATTGCACAGGCGATCAAATACAACAGAAAGAAAGCTCAATTTGTGGGGGAAAAAAGGATGTAAATTTCATTTATGTACCATATTGCATGACCGCGCAATTGTCCGTTAAACTAGCGCAGTGCTGTAGAGCAGAAAAATGGTGTAAATTGCAGTATTTATACCATAGTTTGTAGACGCTATAACTTCCACACAAAGCAATCAATATACACTCTGTTTTTGGGATTTTGTTTACCAAAAACATGGAGCAGAATACATTTTGGCCTAAATTTATAACCAACTTTGAGTTTACTATATATTTTTTATAGCTGAAAGTAAAAAATATTGTTTTACTTCAAAATTTTTGGCCTTTTTTTGTTTATAGCGTGAAAAATAAAAAGCGCACAGTTGATCAAATTACACCGAAAGAAAGCTCTATTTGTGTGAAATAAAGGACGTAAATTTCGTTTGGGTGCAGCATTGCATGACCGCGTGGGGGATGAATTACTATGGGGGATGAATTACTATATGGGGGATGAATTACTATGGGGGATGAATTACTATGGGGGATGAATTACTATATGGGGGATGAATTACTATATGGGGGATGAATTACTATGGGGGATGAATTACTATATGGGGGATGAATTACTATGGGGGATGAATTACTATGGGGGATGAATTACTATATGGGGGATGAATTAATATGGGGGATGAATTACTATAGGGGGATGAATTACTATATGGGGGATGAATTACTATATGGGGGATGAATTACTATGGGGGATGAATTACTATGGGGGATGAATTACTATATGGGGGATGAATTAATATGGGGGATGAATTACTATAGGGGGGATGAATTACTATATGGGGGATGAATTACTATGGGGGATGAATTACTATATGGGGGATGAATTACTATAAAAACTTATTGAAACTAAAAACAGTGTACCATCCTATGTATTTTCAGTTTTAAAAATGTGGCTCTCAAAATAAATTTCAATCGTGGTTTTGGCGAGATTTGGCTCAGTTGAAAAAAAAGGTTGCCCACCACTGACCTAAGAGACTGGAAGGTACACTTACAACAAACCTGTATCAAGGTTACATTCATAGCTCTTTGTTTCTGCTTTGAAAATCTCACCAAAGTTAAAGTGGTTGTGAACCCTTAATATACCTAGTGAAATGACTGGCCTCAGGTGATACCCAGAGATTAAACAAATCCTCCTATATAAGTTGTACCCGTTTATCTGCTGCCATTTGTCCCCTACATCCATTCAAAGTGCAGAATTTACACAGAATCTCTCAGCTCTGAAAAGCAGGGGGTGGGGAACTGAAGTTACATCAGTGAAGAGAGCTCTGGAAGCTGAGTGGAGAGAAGGGACACACCGCCTTCACACAACACACAGGAACAGAGCTGAGGCTGTCAATCTGCTGTTCCCTTCCCAGTCACCATTTTTCTCTTGGTGTCAGGAAAACTTGTCAGAAGTAGATCATACTGATAGCAGAGGAATGAAGTAGCAGACAGAAATTATACCTGGTGCTCTGGATTTAGACAAGCACACACTATAGAGGGATATGTTTTGTTCCTATTTCATGTCTGAGGTTTACAACCACTTTATGGGAAATCCTCTGTTAAAAAAAGTGTTCAGATTGGAAGATTTACCCCTCTCTATCCCTCTATTTCTGTTTTGGTGAAAAGTTTGGATTTTCCCTCATTTTGTTTTCCATTGACAATGGTCACCAGAATAAATAGGGACATTGAATCTCCCTAGAGGGGAAAGAAATGGCAATGAAAACGTGAGAGGGCCTTCCTTACTCAATCCAAACATTGAAAAATAATGTAGTTTTTGAAAAAGAGAACTTGTGTCAAGGGGGGAAATTTCAAAGTAGGAGTGAAGTTGTACTGCAGACACTATAAGGTGCCATTTGGGGTTCAGCTACTCCAGTTGCTGCTGGAATCAACCAAACATCCCTTTCAAATACCAACCACATGATAGCGCTAGCACCTGACAGCTGGCCACTCAGGTACCCACAGCATTTTTTGTAGGGGAACTAGGGGGTCATGTGCCCCATACCTGAATTTGGGATTTTTAAACATTGCATTCTTCGTTATGTTTTACAGTACAGACCGTGAAGTATCAAACTGTACAGAATACAGAGAGATATCACGAGAAAACAATATACCTGGGTATAAAACAGTTAAGATGTGGTACAGTGCTCGTCTCAATTCTACGTAGATGTGAGAATGGCAGGTGAAGGGTCAGCTCTATCCGTTAAGTGTCCCTGTATTGTGGCACTCTCCAGTCTTTTGACATACCAGTTTGATGCCCACGTGTTCCCATCATGAGAAGATGGCAATCATGCTGTACCAGTATAAGAAGAAAATGATTGATTTGGAAGAGTCAGAATAGAATAAAGGGGAAAAAAGGGATGGGGTGGATAGGGGAAGGAGGCACCTGCTTGAGCGAAGGGAAAGTCATTTCCCTCTGCAAATAGGTTTTTATGGGGGGTCCAATGGATGATTGGGTTGACCTTATGGTACCTGCTATACACCATCACTGTTAACCAAACATCAGATCATGTGGTGCTGCTTCCCAATCAGATAGATCAGAAAGGGCTGTGGCTATCAACATGCACGACTACGGCCTTCAAATGCAGAGACAGGAATCCTTCAATCTACAATGAAGTCGACAACTAGGTGAAATTCCAACAGAATTTTGCTTTATTTCATCTTAAGCAGTAAAAGGTTCCAAACAAAAGCCAACACTAAGGCATTTCAGACTGAAAAGGTCTTATTCACAGCTGTGATCGCATTACAAGTCATTCCCATCCAAAGTTGCATCAAAGTCGCAATGTAAAGTTGAAATGGAAATCGCACGACTTTGAGTCCAGCAATTTTGAATGGAGCCAAGGAGTTCAGTGAGGTGACAGTTCATATAGGAGATGCCAGCAAAGACTAAAAGTTCATATAACATACCTAGATGGCTAGAAGTGTGACCATTGAATTCAGCTTACAGCAGTAATGGGTAAAGCAGGATGAGGTAGATGGGGCTGACAGTGAGGGTAGTTGGATAAATACATTTAAATTCGATTTCAGTTTTGTTCCACATTATTGTTGTATGTACTTCTTAGTTTGGTTTAGTGACAGTTCCATCTAACTCTCAGGGGTTATAGTCCCACTTTGCGGAATCCTCAATGTTGTTCCAACAGAGCTCAGCATTACGTGAGCCGTAGATTTCGTCTCGGATCAGTGTTTTCTGAAAATGAACACTTCCAAAAGTTAATTTGACCTAAATCGCCTGATAATAACACAAAATTGAAGGGATGGCTGCAGGATGACAGGCCCCAGCCTGATGGATAATGTTAGGGTTTCAAGCTGCAATTGTTGTGCTCAGCTCAGTCATTTGAGAAGCCGGCTTTATATACAACCTTTATATCAGCCTTTGGGATTTTAGTTTCTTCACATGCAGCTCTGAAAGCCCTAATTATGAGCCAAGCAAGTGACTGGCGTTTTCTTCCCAGCCATGCTTTTTATGAGCAGAAGAGGCATTTGATATCTTGCCAAATGGACTTTGTAAAGAGAGCTTCCAGTTTACCTGAAGGTTTATCCAGTTGCTTTATAATTCAAAATTAAAAGTGTAGTGTCCAGTAAGGAAAAGGAAGCCTAGACCTAGGGCTCACCTGGCAGGGTTTAAAGAGGTTTGGCTCAGGAGGAGTTTTAGGTAGGTGAAATGTAAATAAGGTCAGGGTACTTACCAGATTGGTGGATTGGAAGGAACAAGTGGGGCTTCAAGGGATGATCAGTAGTAGGATCCCAATGAGGTCTTCATATGGAAGAGGGACTGCGTTGGAACCTCCCTCCCTTCTATGGGTTCAGTTGTTGGGCATTTCTTGGGACAGTTCCTCTGGTGTGATTTGTCAAGGCAGCTGGTGGGGGTAAAAGGCCCTTGTATGTGCTTTAATATAGGCAAAAATGTATTCTGGTAGGAACCTGTCTTGGAAATGGCTACTAGTTGTTTGTTTATTGGGTGGAGGCCTAATTTTCAGGTAAGCAGGTACAGTACTTGAAGTTCTGATGTCTACAAGGACCTTGGGGCTCCATTATTTTCATATTGTACCGATTGTTTTTGTATGTTATTTTTTACAAATTTGCTAAAAAGGTCACTTGGGTAAAGTAAAAGGGGAGATTGGTCAAGCAGTCGTAGAGACAAATCATCTTTTATAACCTTGACAAGATCTTTCCTGTTTTCTGGCATTTAAGTGACTTTGTGAGTTGTCCTATAACATAGTTGATGCTGTCATTAGATCAGATAGATTATGTTTCCACTCCCTTCCATTGCCCGGTATTTTGAAGTAAACCTCATAGGAGAGAAATATAGGGACTACCACTGCTGATCTGAAAATTCTTATTGTTTTATTTTGCATTGCATCCTACTGAGCCATCCATGCTGCTTTCTGAATTGCTTGCTGCCATGCTTGTGTGATGGGTTTTTGCTTGCTTCAGTTGGGTTTTGTATTCCCATACCAGTCAGTGGGAATGAAGAACATAGAACCAACAAACACAAATGCTCTTGCGCTTGGGGATGGACTCGATGCAGGCTACAACCACATTAAGAATGTCCTGGAACATGCACACCTTGTTGCCCTCAAATGGACCGGGGAAATCCAAATATACTGAATGAGGAAAGACAAAACAGAGGGCGCACAGGCCTAGTGCATTACCATAAAAAATGTTTAATAAAAAATAAAGTTTGTGTTGTACTCACAAACGACAATATAGTCAAGGCACATCATAAAGAACAGCTGGGTCAGCACCGCGCTGAGTAACAGTCCGCAATAGGGAGTTTAGACATCCGAAAGGCTGACGCGTTTCGAGGACTTGCCTCTTCCTCAGAGCTGAATGAAGAACATACTTGAAGCAGGTCAAACGCTGATCAGAAGGAGGTCAACTGCACCTGTCAATGAACTCTGAATGATCTCAGAAGTTCCTCATACTGATGCCATAAACACCAAAGCCTGTCGACAAGGACCCCAACACTAGAAACATCCTTACAGGAGGGCAAAAGCTCAGGGATTATCTAATTAATGAGATGCTCCTCTTTGTTGGCCACCAGCAGGCTGGAGAGGTGACTAAAGCCTCCTACACACAATGAGAGTATCAAATGGTTGGCCATCCATTTTTTGTTCTTGCATGCTAGTTTCATATCGAAAATGAAGTGGTTACTAAAGTTACGAAAATTCTCATAAGACAGAATACAACTTCAGAAGTGATGTAATGTATTGTATAGTATTGTAATGCATTCTTTAGTTTCTGAGCATGTGCAATCTTGGTCACTCATTTTTTTTTGCAGAGAAGAACTGTACAAATTAAACAAAAATCGTTTCTTCTGTAATCATACCAAAAAAATGTTGTGCTTGTCCCTTTGGATAATTTTGAATGAACTGTCGTGATCGGCTCTTGAAAGCTGTGTACTAATGATGAGATCATTGGACAGTCGGCCCGAAAGTGATCATTTTTGTCTAATTTTCTCATAGTGTGTACTAGGCTTTAGAAATCAGAGCTTAAAGCAGAGTCCCACCTAAAAAAAAAAAAAAAGTCAGCAGCTATAAACACTGTAGCTGCTGACTTTTAAAATACAGACACTTACCTGCCCCTCGGTCCAGCAGTGTCTTCACCACCACTGGTTTGACCAGCCATCTTCTCTCCCTGGCACCGGCATCTTCAGTGTGGGCACCCGGCTCTGACAGCTTGCGGCTTCACAGCCGAGTGACCACTGCGCATATGCGAGAAGTGCTGCGCTTTGTGAATGGCCCCGTGGTCTTATGGGACTTGTCACATGTCCCAGAACACTACAGGGAGGGAGGTGGGGGGGAGGGGAGACAACTTCCGCTTCAGATTGCCTAGGCAATCGCAGCGGAAGTGGGAGTGGTTACCTGTGAAATTCAGGTACCCCCTCCCCTCAAAGGTGCCAATCCTTAAATGGGGAGCGGGGGACAAAGCCTTAAAGCGGAACAATTTTGGGTGGAGCTCCGCTTTATAAAAATGATTTTTGCTTGAAGCCACACAACAGATGGAACACAACTGAGATCCTGAAATTTTGTCTGGAATTCCACTTTAATGAGATAAAGAACTAAATGGGGGGTTCATTTGGTTTAAATCCTGTATCTAGAGGCGAGGTGTGGCCTGATAATTGCTAGTTTAAAATGCCTGACTTATAGCTTAAGGCATATCTCCAGTGCCTTCCCCATTTTACCCGTTTTTGAAAAAGTCCCAGAATACATACCTAAAATCCAGGAATCTTCAATACGGTCATGAGATGGGCCAGGGTCAATCTTTTGGGGGCGGTGGGTAGTCCTCTGCATAGACATCACTAATGTTATCACCTGTGAGGGCCGGTTTGTGCAGTGTTCCATTGTGAACCCAGGCTGTGTAATGATGCTTCCCCAGGGGCTCATAGGAAATGGGTTTAAGGATGATGGCCATCTTTTAACCCAGAAGAGGTGCAGTGCTGGCCAATGGCAGTGGACTTGAAAGTCAGTGCTGGAGCATGTAGTGGGTAAGAAGCGATTTGGGAAAGTTTTCTTTTGGATGGAATGGAATAAGGATTTTTTTTTTAATTACATGGAGATCTGCTTTAACTTTTATTTATATTTGAATTCTTTGAAAATAGCATGATATAATCTGAACTTTCCCTTTAAGTAAACCTTTCATAGTCAGAAATTATAACTACTGAACTCATAACTAGCTGTATAATTATGACAGTTATCATGTGGAAGGACGCACTTTGCTGACACGGCATGTAAACTGTCAGTAATACATGTGGTGACTTGGATGAATCTATGGGTACGTGCTTCACTGTGCTTCATTCTACTTTGTCTGTTTTTTGTCTTGGGGCAGATGCCAGGGCGGCTGCTGACGGCTCTGAAGGTCCTGGGCACAAGCCTCTTTGCCCTGCTGGTGCTGGGGGGCATTCTTGCTGCCTATGTCACCGGATACCAATTCATACACACCGACCGGCACCACCTCTCCTTTGGACTGTACGGGGCCATCCTGGGACTGCATCTGCTCACACAGAGCCTTTTTGCTTACCTGGAGCACAGACGAATGCGGAAAGGAAGGCAGAAGTTCCCGACGGGAAACTCTAGAGTGGCGCTATGCATTGCAGCCTATCAAGAGGACCCAGAGTACCTTAGAAAGTGCCTGCAGTCGGTTCGGCGGCTCTCCTACCCTCACCTGCGGGTGGTGATGGTGGTGGATGGAAACACAGAAGATGACAGATACATGATGGACATCTTCAGGGAGGTGATGGGATCGGAGGGCACTTGCTCCTACATCTGGGACAATAACTACCATGTCACTGAAGAAGGGGGTCAGGAAGGCGAAAGGGGTGTACAGGAACTGGTGCAGAGGTTTCCATATACCTGCATAATGCAGAAATGGGGAGGAAAGAGAGAGGTGATGTACACAGCCTTCCGCGCCCTTGGGGACAGTGTGGACTATGTGCAGGTAAGAGCCTTGATGTGGCATTGCTGTATGGTTGGTAAATTATGTATTGCAGTTGTAAAATATGAAGTATGTAAGGCTTTGTGTTCATCTCTCAACCCCCCCACCTCACCCCCTCGGTCTCTGCCCGAATCACACACCTACTGAGCGACATATCAGACTGGATGTCGCTCCACTTCCTTAAACTGAAGTACCGCCCAGCACACACTCTCCGCTCCTCACAAGACCTCCTTCTCTCTAGTTCCCTGGTCTCCTCCTCCCATGCCCGCCTCCAGGACTTCTCCAGGGTGTCACCCATCCTCTGGAACTCCCTGCCCCAACCCATCAGATTATCACCTACTCTCCTCCCCTTTAGGCGCACCCTGAAAACCCACCTCTTCAGGGAAGCCTACCCTACCCCCTGCTAACTTGACCGACCTCCTCCACTCTTCCTACCACTCCATCCCCCACAGCTATCTCCTCCTGTACCACCATCCCCTCCCTCCTAGATTGTAAGCTCCAAGGAGCAGGGCCCTCAATCCCCTCATGTTTTGCATTGTATTGTATTGTTCTGTCACATGTTCTGTCCCCCTTTGTAATGTACAGCGCTGAGCGAACTATTGGCACTTTATAAATACTGTATAATAATAATAATAATTTGGGCTAGTACAGGGATCATAGGCCACCCAGCCTGGGTTGTAGCACATGGCATTTGAGTACATTTAGGACATCATAGCTCTTTTAAAGCTGAATTTCAGGTAAACTAATAGAAGAAACACATATATAGGTATTATTCCTCTATACAGTATCTGGTTCTGAGATTTCCACAGCATGATCCTGTGTGGCAGGGCAGAAGACCTGATTTGTCTCTGCTGCAGTTCAATAACAATGACAGGTCTCCTCCCGGCCCCCAACCTATGATTGGACAGTGAAAGGAGAAGCAGCAGATAGATGAGCTTATATTTATTTATTTCAGGTACTTATATAGCGCCGTCAATTTACGCAGCGCTTTACATATATATTGTACATTCACATCAGTCCCTAACCCTCAAGGGGGCGTACAATCTAAGGTCCCTAACTCACATTCATACATACACATACTAGGGACAATTTAGACAGGAGCCAATTAAACTACCAGCATGTCTTTGGAGAGTGGGAGGAAACCAAAGTACCCGGAGGAAACCCACGCAGGCACAGGGAGAACATGCAAACTCCAGGCAAGTGGTGCCGAGGTCAGGATTTGAACCAGCAACTCTAGTACTGCCAGGCGGAAGTGCTAACCATTTAGCCACTGTGCTGCCCACTATCTCTGTCTCTCTGCTCTCTCCTCCTTTCAACATGCTCCATGCAATTCAGCACAACCGATGGGCTTCTTGTGCTGCTTTTCCATTTCTGGTCTATACTTTGCTAAACAGGGGATGGCAAGTGGCTGATACCAAATCAAATTCAGGTACTTACCTTGCTTGTAGTTAAAAAATACATTTCTATATGACCATCCATTGACTGATACAGGGAATCATAGATGTGTTGGTTATGCTGCTTCCTTTAAGAGGTCTTGACACTGGCAACAAAAAAAGAAAAAAAAAGAAATGGTTAAGCCAGGCCAGTCATAAACTTTCCCCCCAACCGTCATGTCTCAGTTTTCTCCTAGTATCCTAGGAGGTTGGATTCTTTCTCCTCAGCTTTGCTAAGAAAAACCTAGTTTCTTATGCTGGTTTCTGGATAGGATGGGAATTCTCTCCTTCCATTTCCTTAGCCTGCTTTCATAGTGGTCTGTGGCAAAAACACATATGCATTTTTGCTTTGTTTTTACTGGATTTAGAGTGCAAGTTTTAAAGGACATGTAACCCAAAAACGCAACTCAGGTGCGTTTTTGACGTGTTTGCCATTGATTTCAATGGGAAGCTGCGATTTTTTTTTTTATGTCAAACCTGCACCAAAAATGACTTTGAAAAATGCACTGGACCCACAACGGATCAGTGTGAAGAGTTCCATAGGAATACATGGTCACACATTTTTCTTCCACTTTTTTAGTGCAAAAGCAAAAGAAAAATGGGTCAGTGTGAAAGCAGCCTAAATCTAGAAACATTTGCTATCTGTACTTCAGTCTTTACATTGACTTCCCTTGCAGTTCAATTGAAAAAATAAATAAAATATCCAATTTAAAGAAAGGAAGGGGAGAGAGGCGGGGCAGTGGAGTCGTACAATTTCAAAGTCAGATTTCATTCTGATTTGAGGTGCAACTTGCAAGACGTCTGCCCAGATGTCTATGCAAGTCGCACCTGAAGTAGTGCATGCACTACTTTAGAAATCAGTGTGGCTCTGACCAAGCCGGAATCGCACCAATATGACCGCTTTAATTGCAGACAATAGGATGCAACTTGCCATGTGATTTGCAACTCACATGGCATTGCACCTGGTGTGACCGGGGTGTCAAAGATTGATTAGAGTGGTTGCCATTTTTGTTTAAACACAGAGTTCCTCTAGCTGGTAACCTGTTTGTCAAGAGGTCCTCATGGGACCTAGTCACTAGATGAAGATCCGTGTTCTTCTGTATATCAGTCTCATGTATCATCACTTAAACTGGCACATTTGCAACAAAATTCGGCCGATTCAGCAGAAGTCGGACAAATTTTGATTGATGTTTGGCTGCACCTGCTTAACAGAAGTCAATCTAACAATCAGCTTCTATCAAATGGGTTTGTTGGAAAATTTTTCTCAATCAAAAGGCTGAAGCCAATGTATTTTGACAGCGATAAGTTCCCGTAGTCAGAATGCAATGGGGGTTATTTACTAAAACTACATTTTATTTCCCAGATGGAGATGATCAGACAACAGGTCATTTATGACAGCACCTATTCTGAGGGCACTGTACATCGTATCTCCCAGATGGAGATGGTCACACGGTGGGTCATATATGATTGTCTCCATTCTGTGGGAACTGTACATTGTATCTCCCAGATGGTTATGGTCACACGGTGGGTCATATATGACTGTCTCCATTCTGAAGGAACTGTACATTGTATCTCCCAGATGGAGATGGTCACACGGTGGGTCATATATGACTGTCTCCATTCTGAGGGAACTGTACATTGTATCTCCCAGATGGAGATGGTCACACGGTGGGTCATATATGTCTGCCTCCATTCTGAAGGAACTGTACATTGTATCTCCCAGATGGTTATGGTCACACGGTGGGTCATATATGACTGTCTCCATTCTGAGGGAACTGTACATTGTATCTCCCAGATGGAGATGGTCACACGGTGGGTCATATATGACTGTCTCCATTCTGAGGGAACTGTACATTGTAACTCCCAGATGGTGATGGTCACACGGTGGGTGAAATATTATTGTCTTCATTCTGAGGGCACTGTACATTGCATCTCCCAGATGGAGATGGTCACACGGTGGGTTATATATTATTATCTCCATTCTGAGGGCACTGTACATTGCATCTCCCAGATGGTGATGGTCACACGGTGGGTCATATATGATTGTCTCCGTTCTGAGGGAACTGTACATTGCATCTCCCAGATGGAGATGGTCACACTGTGGGTCGTATATGATTGTCTCCATTCTGAGGGAACTGTACATTGTATCTCCCAGATGGTGATGGTCACACTGTGGGTCGTATATGATTGTCTCCATTCTGAGGGAACTGTACATTGCATCTCAGAGCTGGAGATTGACACCCTACAGATCATGGAATGACAGCACTCATTCTAAAGGTACAGCACATTGGGGTTGATTTACTAAAACTGGAGAGTGCAAAATCTGGTGCAGCTCTGCATAGAAACCAATCAGCTTCCAGGTTTTATTGGCCAAGCTTTATTGAACAAGGTGAAGTTAGAAGCTGATTGGCTCCAATGCACAGCTGCACCAGATTCTGAGTGCTCCATTTTTAGTAAATCTCCCCCCACAGTGTCTCACCAGGGAGGATTCCTCTATCCGCCTTGATTGTGTGGATGGAGAAACCCATTCCTTTTTTTTCTCAGCCCATCGCTGAATTAAAAAAATGATCCATCTATGGGCAGACTACATTCAAGGGTTAAGGGTATTTGGCTTCAACCCCCAGCTGTTTGATTATTGGTCTAGACACTTTTATGTCTGTCTGTTCTTTCCCCAAGGTCATGGATTTTGTATCCTTGACTTCTGCCTTTCTTTACAATTTTGTTTTTGTTGACCACTTTTACAATTGCAAGTTCTCTCCCACCTGTTGTCTCCTTATGGTGGTTCTGGGTTCTCGGAGGATGATTAACCTTTTCCCCTAGTGGTGCTACTTGTCCTGCTCAGAAACATCAGATTCATTCTTGGTGCTTTTTCTTACAGTAGCAATTTCCATATTACCTCCCCATTTTCTCACTGGCCCTTCAGTCACTTCTTCCTTTGGATACTTTTTCTCAAAAGATTTCCACATTTATTGGATCTCTCAGTGGCTGTTACCCACCCCTCTTTTGTAATGCTTTATGTATTGAATGCCAATTAATTATTATATACCTGTGTCCCTCATTGGACCATAATTAAAATAATTTCTGTGCTTACTATAGAATATTTTTCTTGAAGTCCGTTGTCAGGACATATTCTGTTATTGGCCTTAAAGTGTTACTAAACCCAGGACCCTGCATTCACTATATCTGATCTCCCCGGACCCTGCATTCACTATATCTGGTCTCCCAGGACCCTGCATCCACTATATCTGGTCTCCCCGGACCCTGCATTCACTATATCTGGTCTCCCAGGACCCTGCATTCACTATATCTGGTCTCCCCGGACCCTGCATTCACTATATCTGGTCTCCCAGGACCCTGCATCCACTATATCTGGTCTCCTCGGACCCTGTATCCACTATATCTGGTCTACTTGGACCCTGCATTCACTATATCTGGTCTCCCCGGACCCTGCATTCACTATATCTGGTCTCCCCGGACCCTGCATTCACTATATCTGGTCTCCCTGGACCCTGCATTCACTATATCCGGTCTCCCCGGACCCTGCATTCACTATATCCGGTCCCCCCAGACCCTGCATTTACTATATATGGTCTCCCCGGACCCTGCATCCACTATATCTGGTCTCCCCGGACCCTGCATCCACTATATCTGGTCTCCTCGGACCCTGCATTCACTATATCTGGTCTCCCACAGTACACACAACATGGAAATGCAATTATTTTAATAAATATAAACTGCTAAATACCTTTTCTTGTCAGCAGTTAGAGCAGTCTTGTAATGTCTATCAGTGTCCAGCAGAGCACTGGTTAAAGCTTGTAAAAAGAGTTTTCATTCACTGCTGATTGTCCTATGAGGCTGCAAGACCCTTGACCCTCTGTCTGGACAGCGCTGATTTTCCCTGTGCTGATCACCTGCACCCTCCCAAGAAAAGAAAAAAAAAAAAACTCCAGCAATACACACCAAACCAAGCATGTATAGCCTGCCTCCAAGGCTCTGTTCTATCAGCAGATGGATTGGGAACAGTAGAAGAAGGGGAGGATCAGAAAAGACAGGATCAAACAGCCTTTTTACACATTAGCCCCTTAGGTTTCACAGTGAGTATAACAAGCATGCTTTACTGCATATCCAGACTGATTTTACTGTTGTGGATTTAGTACAACTCTAAGAACCGATGGCTTACAAAAGGCATGACGGCTGTAAGTAGAGTTATGCGTGAGCTGGCTTAAAGCAGAACTCCAGTCAAAATGTGAAAAAAATAAAAGTCAAATGCTACAAAAACTGAGGCTGCTGACTTTTAAAAACATACACTTACCTGTCCTTCGATCCAGCAGTGTCCCCACTGAAGCCGGGTTCACTGGCCATTCTCTCTCCACGGTGCCGGCATCTTAAGTGTGGGCACCCGGCTGAGACAGCTTGTGGCTTCACAGGCAGGTGCCCACTACGCATGCGTGAGTAGTGCTGCACCTTGTGCACTGTCCCATAGTGTTTTGGTACCTGTCACATGTCCCAGAAAACTGAGGGGGGGCACAACTTCTGCTTCCAATCGTCTAGGGCTAGGCAATCACAGCGGAAGTGGGAGGGAGTATCTGTCAAAATCAGGTACCCGCTCCCCTCCCTGCTCCAAAAGGTTCCAATCATTAACAGGGAGTGGGGGACGAGGCCTTAAAGCAGAACTTTCCCTTTTGGGTGGAGCTCTGCTTTGAGGTTTTTTATGGGGGGGGATTTTGCAAGTGTCCAACCTCCTGAAAGTAGCTATAGCTATAATTTACTGTATCCCTGTGTCACTCAAAAGCCTTAAAAAAAAAAGATTTTACCTTAAAAAAAAATCTTACTGTAATGACGTGTTAATGAAGACGGAGTTGCATTAATTTGTGTCTTTTTATCTGCATGGACTTGAGCTTCAAGGCAAAGCTCCAACCCACCATTCACACTTTTGCCAAGTAAAGCCCAGTTCCTATATTCACCTATATCACTGATCTCCGGTCCTGGTACTTCCAGGTATGGGGAAGCATGCGACCTGCCTGTCACTCCACATTGCATTGCTCTGAACCTAGATGGCCAATTGCCAAGTCCCACGGGGCGAGGAGTATAGTGTGAGATTAACGATGTTAGGCTGGGAATGGTGTTGGGGATCTGATTTGTGGAGGAGTGATACTACATAGGGATGATAAAAGTAGAGATGATAGGGTATGGAGGAAGGCCAGGTAGATGTGGTGTGCTATATTGCATACTTTAGGCCCATCTCAAAAGGTCAAACTAATTGTCTCTGTGGAAAAAGAACCCTTTACCATTTTCAGCTCATCAACAATATTAGTAAATGCTTTAATTTGCTTTGTTCTTGATGGTTAACATATTACAAAAGATGTCATTTGAAACAGCAGAGAGGAAAAGGAGTTCATTGAAATAGATCCATGGTAGTTGGTGATCATTTGCCATTCACATTGAATCTGCTTGTATTGTGCATCAGTTTTTCTTCTTGTATGGCTTCCATAGATTTAACAAAATTGGGGGGGGGGGGGGGGGGTATTCATGGAAGAATCTCAAGACTCTCTGCATCTCGAGTAATGCAGCTATCATGGATTCTTCTGTGGATTTTTATTGATGGTTGGTGCTATCCAGACAGAAATCTGCACCTAAAGTATTCATCATGTTATTTTCTGACAGCAGAAGTTGGAGGACCATACGAGGCCGGCTCCTACTTTGTTCACCATTCGGATCCTTTGATTCATCCAACTTGAATATCCCAGTGGATCCAGCAAAGAGGAGCATATGATCCTCTACTCTGCCACCAAACAACGGCTTACATGGTGCCTGAGGAGCCCATCACCTGGCCTGAGTGCTGTGATAAATGGAAAGGGGAGGAGGGCAGGGAGGCGACTTTCAGAAAGTTGAATCTTGCACAGGACTTTGGGAAGGCTGAAGTGGTGGATCATGGCATAGAATGTGAGCAGGGTAGGAGCACCTGATGGACCTTCACTGTACATAGTATATAATGTACTTTTGCAACTCAATGGTTTTTTTTGCATGTTGGATACTGTATACACTTGATATAGGAATATGTAAAAACAGAACGACTTCATGTGATTTTACACCATTTCAATTTGTTTGTAGGTCTGTGATTCCGACACTGTGTTGGACCCAGCATGCACTGCAGAAATGCTGCGTATTTTGGAGGAAGACCCAAAAGTGGGTGGAGTTGGAGGAGATGTACAGGTAAATAGCACCTTTTTTTTCAATTGAATGGCTAATGCAGCTAAAGTGTATACTTCAGTTACAGAGGTATTCCAACAGTAACATATATGTATCTGACACCACAAATCGACTTGCTTGCGAAGATCAACATAATTGGTATAGATCTCCAAGCTTAAAACGGAACTATACTGCATCTAAGCACCACAAACTAAAAATGGATATGTAATTAACTTTTAATATTCAAAGCAAACTCCCCCATCCATGTCTCCATGCTTTATTTTGCTGAGAAATCACTTTGATAACATAGTATTTCTGGCCGTGGCCATCTTGAGTAAGGGCACATGATTCATGTAGCATTGACTTCCTGGAATCCATCCACCCTTAGTTCAGGCATACAAGCAAGAAGGTGTGCCTAGCTGGGAAAACCCCCCTCCTCTCCAGAAGACTCCTGGGATGTATGACATCATTTGCCTAGGCAAGAAATCAGGAAGTAACTGAAGAACCGTAAAAAAATATAGTTTCCAACAAGTAAATATGATATACTATCCTATCCATTTACTAACGCTAGCAGCATAAGGAATAAAAATAGTCAAAGTTGATTGAGAGAGCGAAGTTCCACTTTCATTTATTTTAACCACATCGCTGGAGTTTGAGCCAGTATAATGGGATGATGCTTGGAGCTGCAGGCATCATCCTGGTGGTGTTCTTTTAGAGCCAGCGGTCGGATTTCATGTAATAATGATCGCCGTGGCTAAGAAGCTGCTCGATCATTATTACATTAACCCCCCCGCTGCTTGCTTGGGCTGTCCCGTCTCACCCGGGAGAACCGAGAACCAATCTACCAGCCCATAGCCAACCAGAATCGGCTTTGATTGGGGCTCTGCTATGGTAACCCAGAAGCAATGATATGACATCACTTCCGGGTTACCCAGATGTAAACAGCGCCACAAAAAAAAAAAAAAAAAAAAGCATTCAGAAATGCCAACATGGTGCTTCTGAATAATTTTAGTTGCAGAGGAGGGATTTGGGGTCTTTTTGAGCCCAGGTCCCCCATAAAGAGTACCTGTCACATGCCTGTTGATGTCACAAAGACTTACATTCCTTGTGACAGCAATAAAAGTGATTAAAAAAGTGTAAAAATAACAACATAGTTTTAAAAAAATTTTTAATTTAAAGTGCCCCCGACCAGTTCTCACGCACAAACCCAAACAGCAATTGGCGCACACATGTAAGCAGGGTGGATTTGATTTAAATCAAACTGATTTAAATCACTAGTCAGTAAGGCTTGATTTAAATCCTAGTTTTCTACATAAAGACTAATTCTTGCTGGTATAACTTTAATATGCAAGTAGATGAAGATTTTTAGAATAACAACTTTTCATATTAGTTTTTTTATCCCCAGTTTAATAGGTTAATCATTCATATTTGGACAACTTTTCTGTTGTATTTAGGAAGGAGAAAAATAATCATTACCTTAATAACAATTTAAATAGATTTATTCATCTGAAACAATAACATTCCAGCATATGTGATTTGCTTAAACATCCATGTTTGGTAACTAATTTGGCTAAACAAAATATATATATTTTAAGAAACTTAGACTGTCAGCCCCTCCCTCCTCACACTTAGTTTCACTTTCTTCTTGTGCAGATCTATTCCACTCCAAACAATCAGAAAAATATTGTTTCTATTCTATTCACTGAACTTCTTGAAACTTAGCACTGAAGGGGTTGATTCTGTATTCATAGGTTTGTAGAAGTTAGGATGAAGGTCTTTTTCTTAACTCTGTTCAGGTTATAACATTTTTGCTGTGAAGAAGAGGCATGTGATCTCCGCTGAGTCAAATTCAGTTTTGAGAACTGCAAAAGTAAACCAAACATCTGTGATAATATCTTGTAGGCAGAGAAACTGCCCAATAATCTTACAAAAACCTCTGGAAGAGCATGACATTGTGAATGGATTCATGGAATTTATTTACCAAAAAAATTAAACATATACAGCCTTATTCTACATAATTAAAAAACTAATCTTTATTTCATGATGGAATAACCTTTGGATGGTAATATATTTTCCTCAAAAAGCTTTTTATTTTAAAAAAATCCGATTTAAATCAAAAAAATCCGATTTAAATCAAAAAAATCTGATTTTTTTTATTTTTTTTAAAAAATCATTGATTTTTATCCACCCTGCATGTAAGGTATCATTGTGATCGTCAGATCATGAGCTGTAAATTCTAGCACCAGACCTCCTCTGTAAATCCAAAGTGGTAACCTGTAAAGGCTTTTAAAGCGTTGCTAATGGATTGCAACATTTACGCCGTTTGTCACCGTTGCACGGTTGGGGTTTGTATGGAGTTTTTTTGCATTAGAAATTAAAAAAAGTGCAAAAAATTGTGTTTGAAAAACCGTTGCGCAAAAAACCTGACATAAAAAAAATTGCAATGATCGCCATTTTATTCTGTAGGATCTCTGCTAAAAAGAAACATCGAATGTTTGGGGGTTCTAAGTATTTTCTAGCACAAAAAACAGATTTAAACTTGTAAACAAAAAGGGCCAGAAATGGTTAGGGGCTTTCAGATGTAAGACATATGTCGGGGGGGGGGGGGGGGGGGGAGGGGTTCAGGAAAACCCTGACAAGGAGGTTTCATCCCTGATGCCCTGGAGAGATACAAGACACAGCAGGATGATCTGAGCCACCAGCATTTATCTAAAATATAACATTTTGAAAGGGCTGATCTTACACAATCCAGTAGATTTAGTAAGGCTGGTATCTACATTGGAGACAATAGTAGACCACATGTGTGGAAACTGAAGAAAGAGAAGTATTTTCATAGCAACCAGACTCAGCCTTTTATTGTTTAGAAAAGTGACAGTAGGAATGTGATTTACCAACCCAGAAGCTTTAGGATCATTTGGTTTCATTGACTCAACTCTCAACTGCCATTGACATTAGGAATGTGATTTACCAACCCAGAAGCTTTAGGATCATTTGGTTTCATTGACTCAACTCTTAACAGCCATTGACATTAGGAATGTGATTTACCGACCCAGAAGCTTTAGGATCATTTGGTTTCATTGACTCAACTCTCAACTGCCATTGACATCTTATTTGATTTTCTTCCAGATCTTGAACAAATATGATTCATGGATCTCCTTCTTGAGCAGTGTGCGTTATTGGATGGCGTTTAATGTGGAGCGAGCTTGTCAGTCTTACTTTGGCTGTGTGCAGTGCATTAGCGGCCCACTGGGGATGTATCGGAACAGCCTTTTGCAATATTTCCTGGAGGACTGGTACCACCAGACCTTCTTAGGACAGAAATGCAGCTTTGGAGACGACCGACACCTCACCAATCGCGTGCTTAGCATGGGTTTTCGGACTAAGTATACAGCGCGTTCCAAGTGCCTGACAGAGACCCCCACCAAGTACCTGCGTTGGCTTAACCAGCAGACTCGTTGGAGCAAATCTTATTTTCGGGAGTGGTTGTACAACGCTTTGTGGTTCCACAAACATCACCTCTGGATGACCTACGAATCTGTGGTGACTGGCTTCTTCCCATTCTTTCTGGTGGCCACCGTGGTGCAGCTTTTCTACCGTGGCCGCATTTGGAACATCATGCTTTTCCTCCTGACCGTTCAGCTCGTCGGCATCGTGAAGGCCACTTATGCGTGCTTCCTTCGTGGCAATGCCGAAATGATCTTCATGTCTTTGTATTCTCTTCTGTATATGACTAGCCTGCTACCTGCCAAAATGTTTGCCGTGATCACCATCAACAAGTCAGGCTGGGGTACCTCAGGACGGAAAAAGCTTGTAGTTAACTTCATGGGGATGGTCCCAGTATCCGTCTGGTTCTGTGTCCTTCTAGGTGGTCTAGTGTACACAGCCTACTGCCAAAGTCAGGACCCCTTCTCTGAAACGGAACTGCTGTTCCTGGTAACGGGAGCAATACTGTATGGCTGTTATTGGCTAGCACTTCTAAGTTTGTACGTAGCGATTGTTGCCCGGCGCTGTGGCAAGAAACAGGAGCTTTATAACCTGGCACTAGCAGAAGTATGAATGTGTGAGGTCTTGTTTCAGATGACACCACAAGAGTGTTAAAGCAACAGGGCCAACCAAAAGATTAACTTGCAGGACCTACCAGGGTCAACGACAGTGGAAGAACGAGGTCACCAGGGACAGTTTTATCACCAGCAAAGTCTAACAGAGACAAGACTACACTATGCATACATATACCTCAGGCAGATCAGAAGAAGAGCAAGTTGCCAAAGCAATATGAGCCATAGTTGGCACAGCCTTAACATACCCGGTATTATCGGTATGGTGCCACCAACAAAGCAATCACTGTGAGCAAGCTCTGTAGGGCATTGCACAACTACATCAACAAAAATAGGTTTCTTCAACTTCATCCAATCTCCTCTCAAAGGTCAACTTAAGCCAAAATGTTTGTGTTTATGTTTCGGTTTTGGACGGAGTAGGAAATGTTAGAGGTATATAACTGTGTTCCTGTTTGGGAGATTTCCCCCCACTGTCAAGACAGAAAATTATGGAAATCCCTCCAACAGGTTCACAGACAAAAACATGTTTTTAGTAGAGTGGAGAAGGGATGGAATATCTGACAACTTTTTTTTTTTTTTTTTTGCTGTCAGTGCCTTCCTGAGCCAGTGACAACTGCTTCCCCCATTTCTTGTACTAGTGAATAGGATACCTCTACTTCAAGTACAGGAAGTGAGAAGATATCTCCTTAATTGGGGTCACAGGCAGAAATAAAAACAGGAGAGAAATTTCAACTCTTTCACACTCCATCCAAAACTGAAATAAAAAATTGGGTGGAGGCTTTAAACTTTTTGGTGGTTAAACGGAACCTGTCTGAACAGGAATATGGCTTTTGGCACAGGTTGGGTTTTTCATCAGCTTGGTGCAGAAAAGTATAAATAACGTGTCCAGCAAATCCTCAACCTCTAGCCTACCCTGAATACAAAGGTGTGTCTATAGCCAAAACATTTATTTATTTTTATTGCTGCCTCTGCTCCCGCTGGTGAGATTCACCCTCCCTATTTGTCCTAGTGATCGGTCACCGAAAGTGATGGGAAATTCAAAAGTTTACTAAACAGAAGGTGAAGGTAAATCTTCTAATGGGGACAACGATAAACCTGTTGTAGATATTTCCCTTCACTCTCTGTTGTGTCTTCAGGACAGGAAGTGAATGGAAATCTCCCCAACAGGGCACAGACAGAAAAAAAAAATAGGGTTACACCCCCCCCCACACAAAAAAAAAATTAAAAAAATGAGAAGAGTAAATAGGTTTTGGTTAGAGATACTATTTTTTTATCCTCAACTTTTATCCTTTTTTTATCCTCAACTTAAAGTGGAGTTCCACCTAAAAAAAATAAATAAATAAAAGTTAGCAGCTACAAAAAAACTGTAGCTGCTGACTTTTAAAAATACAGCCACTTACCTGTCCCTCGGTCCAGCGGTGTCCTCACCATCAATGATTTCACCGGCTGTCTTTTCTCCCTGGCGCCGGCATCTTCAGTGTGGGCACCCAGCTGTGTGACAGCTTTGGGACTTCTTTCCCTGCATTTCTCATGGGTACAGCAGCCTATTGAAATGAAGCAGGCTGCTGTACCCGAGATGTGTGCGCACAAACGCACACCTAACAATGTAAACCTAGACTTGGAAAGTTGTCACCAGCTCAGTTGTCCCCATGGGAAGATGTCCCCTTACCATTTGTGCCAGTGACAACTGTGAAAATATTGAACCGTGACAGTAGTCACCAGAACAAATCAAGAGTGTGAATTTTCCCAGCAAGAACAAAAATAAAAAAAAAAATTGACAGGGGCTTTATCTACCTGGGAGGGCTGGTCCAATTCTGGGAGCTAAAAATATTCCCTGTCAAATCAGAGAACCTTGTAGACCCTTGTTTACACACCAGTTGAGGGGCCATAAAACCACGTGGTTGAGTTACAGTTTCATCCCAACCCACCCCCCCCCGGTCCCCTATTAGCTGTAAAGGCAGTAGAGGGGTATGTACATATGCCACAGTAGCGATGATTTACATTGCAGCGCTGTGCATGCTTCAAGGGGTTGAAGCAGGCGGTGAGGAGACAATACAGGTCCTCCTCACCGCTTGTCAAATGATCTCTGAAGAGAAATTTGAATTCAGATCAATGCTAGCATAGACCAGGATCAGAGAGGCACAAAAGAAATCTGAGCAAGGTCTCTGGAAAGGTACCTGCCCCCCCCCCCCCCCCCACCCATCACCTTACCCAGGCTTTGTCACAGATGCTTGCACCACTGCAACCAGCACAGAGATCTTTTGTATCAGCAATTTGGGGAGGGGTGACATACCTGGAATTGCTGCAGAGGAGGGAGCGTAGCTAAGGCAAGTATATGGAGATGTGGGGGTGAAGTCACCTGCTCTGCAATTATTTGCCCCAGCTGGGATTCCCATGACTATCTGCAAGAGGCAGCCCCATTGAAAGCAATGGGAGGCTGCAGACTCCAGCCCACTCGCATGTAACTGCTCATGTAGTGATCAAATGCGAGCGAACGCCCCCGCACGCCAGGCACTAACATGCAAAAGGATCAGTCAACCCAAAAGGGGTTCTGGTAGGTTGCGTAACCTCCTGCCCCATACGTCTAATATTCCAAGAGAGGGATCTCCCTCCCATAATTCTTACCTATTTCCGTCCACTTGGGAGTTTTGCGTGTTCCTGCCAACCTTTGTGTGTTCCAGCTCCTCCTGGTATAATCTCCACAATATAAAAGAAATAAAACGTTCTATAGGGAGAGTGAGAATCCCTTGACTTGTCTAATATTCCAAGAGAGGGATCTCCCTTCCATAATTCTTACTTATTTCCATCCACTTGGGAGTTTTGTGTGTTCCTGCCAACCTCTATGTGTTCCAGCTCCTCCTCCTGGTACATTCTCTAAATATAAAAGAGAATCTCCCTTCCAAAACGTTACTACTTGGGGTTTTGAGTGAGCCAAATCCCTTGACTTGTCTAATATTCCAAGAGAGAGATCTCCCTCCCATAATTCTTACCTATTTCCATCCACTTGGGAGTTTTGTGTGTTCCTGCCAACCTTTGTGTGTTCCAGCTCCTCCTGGTACATTCTCAATATAAAAGAAAAAAAAACGTTCTACAGGGAGAGTGAGAATCCCTTGACTTGTCCCCTGATCTAATTAGAAACCATAAAAAAAAACAGATTTGGTCATACTTGGCCGCCTCTACTATGCAGATCTAGGAATTCAATATTCTACCCTCCAACTTTCATTATCTTTAAATAGCAAAAAAAAAAAAACCTATATTTTAACCTGATAAAAGAAACCGTGCAATATGAAGTGCTTGTGAGGTGTGAACAGCCAAACGCCTCTTTGTCTGATTCAGAGGAATAAATTACATGTAATGAATTAAACAGTTCCACAGAATTCACCAATACAGGAGAACAATGCTCAGGGTTGACACATCCATCTTGTCCTGACATCTCATCCCATCTTTGCTCTGGCTGCTTTCGGGAATGTCTACTATAAAGCTTAAAATCAAATGCGAGGATTAAATGGGATTTCCCAAGTGTCCTGCCCATTGTATTATGTTTGATTTCTGATGAACCCAATTATTTGTGATGGATTGCAGCGCTGCACAATCTTGCAAATCAGCATTGTCAGAAATCAAAGTGATTGAGGAACAGGTTTGTGCAACTATATATGGCACCCTACGGCCATTCAGCGGTGGAGGAGATCTAAAATCTGCCATGGAACCTAAACTGGCCATTTGTATTAAGATTTCTGTTGTTGACATGAGAAATCACACAATTCTTCCATCCCTGCTAGACTGTGTGGATGGATAAATCTGCAATAGATAAGTAGTCTTTTGAACAAAGGTGTTGAGTGTCCATATTGTGCAGAGAATAGAAGTTGTCATACAACACTTGCATAGTTCACTGAAGCCGGCCATACATGGATGGAAATGGGGCCGGTTCAGCAGGAACTGGCTCAGATTCGATCCATGTATGAGCAGGCTGATTGTACCCAATGCAGGCCATAGACGGGTCGTTTATCAGCCGAATTTTCATCCGCACGAAAAATTGGCCATATTCACGCCGTTAGTGGGGCCAGCCTGTCGGCCGTTTTTCGCAGATCTTCTCATTTATTTTTATCGGTCATGCTGCAAAATCCACGAAAAACGTCCGGTTTTCATGGACATTGGTGGCAGCATCGGCAACGGCACCGACCGATTTTTCGTTTAATCGGCTGACAAGTCGTCTATGGCCTGCATAAGTCAAACCATCAATGGACTTTGGTACAGCCAGTCTGTTGGATTTATTACATATAATTACAACTGGACCCCCGCTGGCAGAACAGTATGGAGCTACAGGAGGGATTCCGCCATCAACACTTAGTCCTCATGCACACTTGATGGTTTTTACAGCTGTTGTTTTTGGCGTTTCATGTTTTTTCTACAGCCAGTAAACCCCCCAGCATGTTATCCTCTGTGTCCATGGACTGTAATCAACGTTTTTTGGCTGAAAAAAAAACGCTCCAAAACTAGTGGGTTTGTAGATTTTTTTTCCAGCTGTAAAAACACTCTAACACTGAAAAACGAGGCACAAAGCCACAAACCGACATTTTTGAAAAAAATTTTTACCCCCCCCAAAAAAAACGCTAAAAAAACCCCGCAAACGCAGCTAAATGCTAATGCAAAAATGCTAAAAAAAGCGCTGAAAAACTCATGTTTTTATTGTGACTTTACACACCTAACGTTACTAGCATTATCAAAATGTCCCGTGTGCATGAGGGCTTACTGTGTTTATAGGGGAATCAAGAGGTTTTCTTTCATTTCACCTGTGGTGGAAGGAAAAACAAACAAAAAAAAAAATCAAATCATCTATGGGCTGCCTAAGGCTGGCCATACACTATACAATTTTCTGTCCAATTCCCTTTAGATTTACCTTCAACTATGTAGTGCAAGAGCCTGCCTAATTGGATACAATTGAAAGTGTTGTTAGGTTTGACCTCCTATTATATGGTTTTTGGTCAATCAAAACCAAAAATCTCAAGAAAATTGTATAATGTATGGCTGTTGTATAACACTGTCCTTATACAAATGTATCATCAATCTTTGCCTTTCCTCACTCATATTTATTGGCCTTGAAAGATTGGTGGCAGTCTATACGTGGGCCAGTCATTAAGAGTATCAGGCTAGGTTCACATCTCCGCGTTCCTGAGGGCCGTATTTTTTCGTGGGCACAAGAGCCCATTCATTTGAATGGACTCCCGTGCCCCGGGACACGCAGGGAAGAAGTCTTTGCACTTCTTTGGAAAACGCAGCCCGCACGGGAACCTCGGTTCCCAGTACGGTTGCGATTTCCAGTGCGAGCGGCGTGCCATTAGAATTAATGGCACCCGCCTGCAGGTCTGCATTACTCTGTGGGGGTGCATGGATTTTTGTGCGGATCCGCAGCAGCACCACCCACACAGATGTTAACCTGGGATTAGAGTAGCTATACATGATGCAAAAGTTGCAAGCAATGCAATAGATTCCTATGCAATATGGATGATCAGGAGACTATAAAACCTTACAGGAGTCAACTAAAGGTTGCAAATGGAAACGTCTAAAGCAGGGGTGTCAAATTGGTGGCCCTTCAGCTGTTGCAAAACTACAAGTCCCATCATGCCTCTGCCTTTAGGAGTCACACTTGAACAGTATGAACTCTTATGTGTTACCTATACTTGCCAAATTACCTTGTTTTGCAGTCTCAATTCTTTTGAAGCCATAAAAAAATAAGAGTTATCATAGGAAGTTGTAGCTTTGGTAATACCCCTCCCTCCTAGATTGTAAGCTCCAAGGATCAGGCCCTCCTATCCCTCTTGTATTGAACTGTATTGTTGCTGTATTGTCTCCAGTTATATTGTAAAGCTCTGAGCAAACTGTTGGCGCTATATAAATCCTGTATAATAAATAATATAATATATATATATATATATATATTATATATACAGTTGTGTCCAAAATTATTCAACCCCCACTGAAATTGAGTGTTTTGGCCAGTTTGACATTGCTTTTGATCATTCAGTCATCTTGCTTACATTACATTAAAGAGGCACTTGTAGGTCAGACAAATATAACATAACAGTTATAATGAAATAACCACAAATGTCTTTTCTGTGCTCACAGCATTATCAGTTTTATTCAACCCCCAAGTGACATTCAATCTTAGTACTTAGTACAGCATCCTTTTACAGTTTATAACAGCTTTTAAACGTGAAGCATAGCTTGACACAAGTGTCTTGCAGCGATCTACGGGTATCTTCGCCCATTCTTCATGGGCAAAGGCCTCCAGTTCAGTCACATTCTTAGGCTTGCGCACTGCAACTGCTTTCTTTAAGTCCCACCAGAGGTTCTCAATCGGATTTAAGTCTGGTGACTGCGATGGCCACTCCAAAATGTTCCAGCCTTTCCTCTGCAACCATGCTCTAGTGGACTTGGAGGTATGCTTGGGATCATTGTCCTGTTGAAAGGTCCAACGTCTCCCAAGCCTCAGGTGTGTGACGGACTGCATCACGTTTCCATCCAATATCTCCTGGTACTGAGAGAATTCATGGTACCTTGCACACGCTGAAGCTTCCCTGTACCTGCAGAAGCAAAACAGCCCCAAAGCATGATTGACCCTCCACCATGCTTCACAGTAGGCAAGGTGTTCTTTTCATCATAGGCCTTGTTCTTCCTCCTCCAAACATAGCGTTGATCCATGGGCCCAAACAGTTCTAATTTTGTTTCATCAGTCCACAGAACACTATCCCACAACTTTTGTGGTTTGTCCACATGGCTTTTGGCATACTGCAGTCGACTCTTCTTATTCTTTGGAGACAGCAAGGGGGTACGCCTGGGAGTTCTGGCACGGAGGCCTTCATTACGCAGTGTGCGTCTTATTGTCTGGGCTGAAACTTCTGTACCCACATCTGACAAATCTTTTCTCAGTTCCTCAGCAGTCACACGGGGACTTCTCTCCACTCTACGCTTCAGGTAGCGCACAGCAGTCGAAGTCAGCATCTTCTTTCTGCCACGACCAGGTAGCGTTTCAACAGTGCCCTTTGCCTTGAATTTGCGAATGATGCTTCCTAAGGTGTCTCTTGGTATGTTTAACATCTTTGCAATCTTCTTATAGCCATTGCCCTTCCTGTGAAGAGAAATCACCTCTTCTCTTGTCTTCCTGGACCATTCTCTTGCCTTCACCATGTTTGTAACCACACCAGTAAATGTCTAGAAGGAGCTGAGTATCACAGTCATTTTAAAGCTGCCTAATTGGTGCTTATTATGCTTGATTGCTGCTCGGTGACATCCACAGGTGTTTTCAATACCTGATGGAAAGCACCTGTATGAACCTCTGTTCTTCAGAGTGGTAGTCTTTAAGGGGTTGAATAATTGTGGCAATGAAGAAACCACATAAGAACCATTTACTACTGTATTACATAAACAATTGATGTCATTTTAGTTGCATTTGGGTAGTTACAACGTCCTTGTAGGATTTGATTCTGAATACAATTCCAAATGTACACTATAGTCCCTAAACCCCTTTACAGCATTGGGGGTTTGAATAATTTTGGACACAACTGTATATAAATATAAATCCTGTATAATAATAATAATAACTAGAGAAGCTACAATTTCTGGGGAAGTCTACAACTGGAGTGGGCGGAGTAACTGGGTGGAGTGGCTTGAGTAAGGGCTCGTTCACACTTGGCTGTTTTACCAACGCTTGCCAAACGCCCCTATAGCGTTTGGCAAGCGTTGGTCCGGCGTTTGCGGAGCGTTTTTTAACGCTCGGCAAATTCTGCATGCACGGTTTAGCGGCGGTTGCTAGGCGTTTGCCGAGCTTTAAAAACGCCCCACAAACGCCTATAATACAGTTTGAATGGTGTTACCGCTCCGCAAATGCCCCACACAACCACGTCGCAACCGGGCGGGCGTTTGCGGAGCGGGCACCATAGACTAGAATAGGAGGCTCGACCAGAGGCGTCCTGACTCGACCAGTGGCGTCCGTTTTGCCGCGACGCAAACGCTCCCGTTAAAACAGCACCATGTGCTGTAATGTGCAGAATTGGCAGAGACGTTTGGGAAGCGGTAAAAACGCCTCTCTGCCGCCTGCACACAATGCGAGTGTGAACATAGCCTAACTGTTGTGTGGTTGGAGTGGCTGGAGTAACTGTGAAAAGGTTGGACTGAAACTATCAGGACTATGGCTTAGCCGTGGACATTTTTAGTGACAGCAGGGATAGCTGAACATTTTGATATAAGATTTGTGTAGGTGGGCTTGAAAATGAGGGAGTGATGGCAGTTTACAAATCATGTCCTGATTTTTCAGCTCCCACTCTAGTTTTGAACATTCCGCCATTCATTCCTATGGGACCAATTTCACCACAAAAACGCTGATATTTCGTGAACCCTTCAGCGAAACGTTCCACAAAGTAATAGCACACCAATCGGGAACAATCCGCACGTTTCGGTATATTACCGTCTATGTAGTGTAAAAACTGTGGGAGGAGTTAGGGTGGTAAATTTGGCCATAATAATAATAATATATATGTGAGATAACAGTAAGTGGTCGCCATGCAAGAATTAATAATAATTGTCAGTCTTGCAAAGCCTCATGGGACTTGTAGTTTGACAACAGCTGGAGGGCCGCCAGTTTGACACCCCCGTGTTCTAAAGAATATCCTCTTCATCACACAGAGATCTTCTGCCATTAAAAGAAAAATGTAACAGGCCTTCTTGCTTTGCTTGAACTCCATTAGACCATTACAGAGATGATTGCTGTGGATCCAGGCACTCTGGTGGGCAGATGTCTGTCTGTTGCTCATGGAAGGACATCTATGTCTAGGTCTACCCCTAAGAAAATAAAATCTTAAAGCTGAACTCCACATATGAGCTGCATACGTAGATTGTTCCAGCTTGGACCAATGTAATTATTCACATCTGATACCTGAGGTGTTGCTGGTGAAGCTGACAAATCACTGCAGTCGCGCTACTACAGTGATCGGCGCTCCAAACTTGACCAATGCAAAGTATGCAATTAACATCATACCCGGAGTTCAGCTTTAACAAAACAAGGCCTTTGATTGGTGGCTGTGAACAACTCTCTCCTCTTCTTTTGCTCAGGTTTGACCATCCTCCGTATCACAAACCTCCAGAGCACAGCGAGCGATACTTGGCACTGCTATGTGGGGTGTTAGCATGGCCTCTGCATGGAGCATGATATGAGCCAGTCCCTGGCCTGAATGTTCTTCATGCTGAATTTATTTTGTACAGTTTTTACGATTTACAAATGTTTATTTATTTTGTGATATGAGTTTTAAAGATTTTTTTCAAAGGTTCCTAAAATAAAAGAGACTGATACAAATCTAACCTGTCTGGCGTTCTGCTTGCATCATCACAATGCATGAACCCTGAAAGGATTTTTTGGTTATTTAGAACAGGGGTCTCCAAACTTTCTAAACAAAAAGGGCCAATTTATTGTCCATCAGACTTTAGGAGGGGCTGGACTATGGCCAGCGGCAGTGGACATTTTCCTGGCATTAATGGGCGTAAACATTGCCACATTTGGTATTAGGGGGAGGAATAGGGTCACATTGTTGGTATCATTGGAAGGAACAGTGCCTTGTCATTGGTGTCACTGGGAGAAATGATTTTCCAACGTTGGTGTCAGTTGGCATATTAGTGTCTCAGAGAGTGATTGCTTTTATCTAGCCCTTGGAGCACTAAAGGGCTGCATCTGGCCCCCAGGCCGCAGTTTAGAGGACCACGGATTTAGAATATTATACTTATGTACTACAGGGTATTTATTTTTTTTTTTTAAATGTCCACTCTTAAAGCCCAGCCCCAGATTAATTTTTATAGATGTCCATCAGTCTGCTTAACCTGTTACCATCTGGCCCATGTTGATAAACGGCCGAACAGCAGCGCTGCCGATGCGGGTGGATGTTTCAAAACACGCCCCCCCGCATCCATTGCCTGTGCTCGCTCCCTAGGAGTGTGCGGTACCGTGATTGGTGCCCGTGATTGGACACAGCGGAACACAGATCGCTGTACGTGACCTCTGTGTTGTTGGGAATACAACAGCATGTACTATATAGTATTGTGTGTTAATATCACTTGACCAGTAGATGGCACTGTACACTAAGGTTACTATTGTGCATGTGTGTAAAACTTGTTGGTTCTCTCTCTTCCTCTTTCTCTCTTCAAAACCAAGATGTCTGCTGAAATGTGTTCTGTATGTTTGCAACTTAAGCCACACAAGTAAAACAGAGTTCTGCCTCATCACAAGCTACCAATGTCTTCTCTAACACATAACCAACATGTGTGAGGTCACAATTCATGTGATCACTGATTGGCCAATCCTGACATCATTGCTTACTACTTGCAAAATCTGTGAATGATCACAGAGGTCACATGGTACAAGGCTATTCATAACAGCCTTGTACCATGTGACAAGCTGTGACCAATCACAGCTCTCACAGTATTTCTCAATGGCTGCAGGAATGCAGCCAGAGAGAAGGATAAATGATTGCTTTTACAGCCTTTATGGGTGTAAAAGCAATCAGTGTAAAAAAAAAATGTATATATCATCACCCCCCACAAGCAGTACAGTGTCAGTATGGTGACACTGTACTGCTAGGGTGACAGTATGTTAAATAAAAAAAAAAAAAAATTTAAATTATAATTTTGGTTATAAACTAATTTGGGTTTTTTTTTTTTTTTTTTCTAAAAAGATAGATGAATACATTTTGGCCAAGATTTATGAAGAAAGATTATTTATTTGCCAAATTTTTTAAGAAAAAAACACCTTTTTTTCCCAAAATTTGGACTTTTTCATTTATATAGCAAAAAAAATAAAAATCCCAGTGGTGAATAAATACCGCCAAAATAAAGTTTTATCTGTCTCAAAAAAATGCTAAACAAATTCATAAGGGTACAGTGTTGCATGACAGTGCAATTGTCATTCAAACTGTGACAGTACTGAAAGCTGAAAATTGGCCTGGCCTGGAAGGGGGTGAAAGCGTCCGGACTATAAAAAAAAAAAAAAAAAAAAAAGTCCTGGCTATAAAACTCACCTTCAGTTCAAAGCTGTCATGCGCAGTGCCTCTTCTCACAAGATGTCTTCAGCGACCCAAAGGACTTGAAGCTGATCTCCATTCAGTGTTAACACTATACTATTCTTTGCTGCCCCCTTAGACAGAGTTAACTGCTCATGTAGTCTAGGGGGTAAGGAATAAGCCTACCTTGTTCCTCGTGCCTCCGGGACCCAGAACACTCCTTTCCTCTCTGTGAATGGGTCCTTGACATACTCTTGTACAATGCTGCTCCTGCAAAGCACTTCATAATGTAGAGAGGCTACGACCTGACCAGCGAAGAATAGGAGCAACTTCAAGGACCAGTCACATGGTGGGTGAGAAGCCTGAGTAAGCAAGGAATAAGTTAAAGTGCTAGTAAACCACAGCTCAAAAAAAAAAAAAAATCCCCTGCAAGGTAATGTCATAATGTGATAGTATGCATCGCATACTAGCACATCATGAAGGACTTGCCTTAAAATGAAGCCCTCCAGCGCGTGCCGTCACTGCTGCCGAGGCTTCCATCTTCACCCGGTCCTCCAACTGGCCAAGTTGCGATGCGCATGTGGGAGTTCCAGGTCACGGCACAGTGCCGTGGGTATGTCGTTCCTTCAGAGCGCATGCGCGGCTCTCAGAGTGAATGCCTCCTAAACAGTGCAAGTTTAGGAGATAGTAATTTTACCTACAGGTAAGCTTTATTATAGGTAAAAGTATATAAAAAAAAAAGGTTAATAAAAACAGAATAGGCGAGCGCTAAAACCGTGAGCAACTGATGCACCAAAAAGGTAACCAAAAACAACCTCCAAAGCAGTCAAAATAAATATAGGTGCAGCGCTAAAATCTTAATCAATATAATGCAACCATATGCAATAAATATATAGAATGCACGAATCACATGATTAATGGTAGATAAAGTGACAAAGTGCAAATATTGTGCTAATAAATTGTATCCACAATAAAGTGATAATAAAGTGGCAATCATGAGCACTTAATAGTGCTAAACTATCTAATTCCAATAAATAATCATGGGAATGTCCATAAGGTGCTACTCGTGAAGATCCATCCAAAATGATCTTAGGTAAGTGCTCTGTATATTTTAACGATTATCCAGGTGATGTGCCGTGAATATGTTAAGATTGCGCACTCACCAGATGCGTAATCATATTACGCATTTGTATGTTTAGTTGTCAGCCGGAGGTCCCCTTAAGGATGTGAACAGCCTGGTCTGGTCAGAGAGAGATATCCCCTTCCCCTGGGTTGTCTGCAGCACCTCAGCTGTCCTCCAGAATGGGCTCTGTGGGATCAGCAAGTGTTTGATAAAAAAAAAAGTTTACTACCAGTAACTAAACTAAAAGGAAAATATTTTTTTTTTTTTAAGTTTTGAACAGTTTTCAGGGAGCATTATCACAGCAACCTACATTCCCAGTGTAGAGCGGGGCACTGACGTCATAACGTCAGCCCCACTCTTTGCAATGGAGGACTACCTAACCCACAGAAGAGGATCTTTCAGCACTACATGACCCAGTCTGAAGACTTTGAAATACATAAGTAACTGACTCCAGTTCCACCATTCTAGCAAAAATAGTCCAAGGCAATGCAGCTGGGCCCATACCATGTCTGGGATGGCGGCGGTCATCAAGGTCTTGCATTCTCATCGTCTGAGAGAGACTCATAAAAGCTGCTCGATCTCTTTTACAGAGGAAATAATTCTTGGCACGTTCATAATCATTCTGAACCTCCCTGAAGGTTTCCTGACCAGAAAGACATGGGAGTAAAAGTCCTGAATGTCCTGGTCTGTTGAAACTTTCCAGAATAACTTGTTCTTTTTTCAGCTGAATATATTTCATAGTTTTTGCTTTCTCTTGGTCACCTTGGGGTTTGTCATTAAAATGTAAAAAAAAAACAAAAAAAAAAAAAAACCACTTGGATGGAAGACCTACAAATTAAAGGAAATAGCCTTCCCTTGTACTCTGCAGTACAAATAGGTTGCTAGAAATCTTTTCTCACGGACTGTAAAAAAAAGAAAAAAAGAGCCTCTCCCTCACCCTTAGAGGTTTCAGTAGTATTGAACAGAATACCACCTTTTTTTTTTTTTTTCTTTTCACCCAAAAGACCCTCTCTTCTTTGTTTCTTCGCCATTATTGGTACCGGCCTGAGATGTTCTGCTGAGCAAAAAAAAAGGCTTCTTTCCTCTGTGTCTAAGTGGAAATGTTTTACCCTTTTCAGAACAGGTTAGAACTGCCTCCAGGCCTGTTACAAAAAGTGAGTTTCCTATGAAAGGGATTCCACAAAAACTTCATCTTGGAGATTATATCCCCATCCCACATCCTGATCCATAACACCCTTGTGGCACAATAATAATAGCTGAAGCTCTAGCAGTAATAAAGTGATTGTAAATCTTTGGGGTTTTTTCCCTTATTAAAATAATAAAACATGCTTACCTGCTCTGTGTAATGCCCCGATCCTCCTTTTCTCAGGTCTCCAGCCAGTGCTCCCGGCTCCTCCCCTTTATCCAGTGCCCCCACAGAAAACTGTTTCCTATGGGGGCACTCAGGCGGGCTCCCTCCTGGAAGGCAGTGGCAGGAAGGGGTTAAACAGCAGTTCTTCCTCAGAAATAAAGGGAGCCCTTGACATAAATAAAAAAAAAAAAAAAAAAAGCTTTCTTCCTGGGTCCTGCCATACTTTAGGAATTAATCTTTAAGACCGCATTTACACGGGACACTTCTGAATGATGGAAACTGATTGCTGGAAAACGTAGGTTAAAAAAACGTCTATTTAGGCACGTGTAGAAGCGTTTTTTTTTTTTTAAAGATAAGCACAGGAGAACCTCCCAAATGCCAGAATGCACTGAAAAGTGGTAAATTATTAACTATTTCAGACTGTTTCAGAGAAATACAGAGAGTAGAAGCAGAGACAGCAGTATGTGTTGAGATAATTAGGGTGTTGCTCATTAACATTTCTTTTGTTTCCAAGGGTGGGAAGGTGTCTGGTGGAGGGAGTCATTAAGGTCACCTGGCAGGGGGTCTTCATGAAGAATTTGAGGTGCGAATGGTCATTAACATATCTTTTGTTTCCAAGGGTGGGAGAGGTCTGAGGTGTGAACTGGTCATTACAATGTGTGACAAGCTTGGTGGGGACATCCTGTGTTCAGTGTTTTGTCCATCTGAGCACCTTGAAATGCTTTGCATGCATTTTTCATGATGAAAAAAAGGCTCTGGATCAGGAACTGGAAGAGTTAAAAAAAAAAATTCAAACGCTTATGAACACGATTTGCTGCGTTTACAAGTGTTTTGCGTTTGAAACGCTGAAAAACATCGACTGGTGCGTTAAAAAAACAACAACTGTAAACTCCAATGCCTGTAACGACTGTAAACGACGATGTGTACAAGGACACATAGGAAAACATTAGGGAGAGTTCAGGGGCTGCTGAAAAAAAACAGAGAAAAGCTCCTAAACGTGTGTTTATCAGCTGCAGTGTACATGAGCCCTAAGTGACTGACGGACAGAAACGATGGCTAATGAGCCTCAATCTGTTCTGAGTTACAGGGGTTGGACAAAATTATGGAAAAACCAGGTAAAAAAACGAAACTGTTATCGAATATGGTGTTGGACTGCTTTTGGCATCCAAGCCTGAATTCTCCTGGGAATTGACAAGTCTTGGATGGTGGATAATGGAATTGGATACCACTCTTCGTGCAAAAATCGTTCTAATTCTTGCCAAGATGCCAGAGGCAGATAACAAGCCCAAACCTTGCTCTCCAAAAATGACCATAGTGGCTCTATGAGAGGTGTGCGGTGCCCAGGGAAGGTGCAAGACTTCATTTGCATGCTGGCCAACCACGATTTGACAACACCAGCTGTGTGAATTGGAGTATTGTCGTCTTGGTAAATAACACGTCTGTACCATGGGGTGCACATGGTCTGCAAAAATGTGTACATAGTCGCTGGCAGTGACTCTACTTTTCAAAGTAATGATGGGGCGGGCCTGCAGAATACCAAGACATGGCTGGCCAAACCATGATTGCACCACCACCATGCTTTACCGTTGGCACAAGACAGTCCTGGTCATAAGCTTGGGACGGTGTTCGGTGCATGAAAACACATCCGATGGTTGGGAACAGCATGAAGCTCGATTCATTGGACCATATTAGTCTTCCATTTACTGCACCACTCTCTCCTCTGCTGAGCATTAATATCGGTCACTAGCGGTTTGGCAATTGCGGCTCACCCGTGAGTGTTCTGTTTACGGAGTTCCCTCCACACAGTTTTTGCAGACCCAGGCTTTGGAAGACTGAGATTGAGCTCTGCAGTCACTTTTGCAGCAGCTGTTTTCTTACTCCGAGTCACAATCCTTTGGTCTCTTTCGGTGAGTTGACCACGTTTTCCCAGAAACTGTACATGTCGTCATAAC